CCCCACCGGACGTAGTCGGGAGGTTCTTGGGAATGGCGACTTCAAGTGAAACAGTTAATGAAACCAGTGTCACCACAGGCTAGTTGATGCAAACAAGCCTTAAGTTCCTGTAGCATATTTCTGGTCACATGAACATCACCAAACTTCCAAGTAAAAACCCAGCCCGGCCAGCGAGGCTCAGTGGTTGAGCGCCGACCTATGAACCAGGAGGTCACGGTTTGATTCCCGGTCAGGGCACATGCCTGGGTTGCGGGCTTGATCCCCAGTGGGGGGCGTGCAGGAGGCAGCTGATCCGTGATTCTCATCAATATTACTGTCTTTCCCTCTCCCGTCCTCTCTGAAATCATCGGGCCAGAGCCCCACCCTCACTGCCCCGTCCAGCCTAAGTAATTCCCACAGGCTGCATCTCTAGATACAGCCACTCGGGTCAGGGTTTCATCACCTAACCTGGGGCCCACGATCCAGGCCATAGCAGCAGGGGTCTCAGATGCAGTGGCTAAGAGATTGTCAACCCTCGAATTGGAATGGAAGTGGCATGGGAAACGTTGGAAAGTTGCTCACCAGCGACTCCCAGGAGGAAAAAGGGTCGCACGCTCTCCCGCAGTTTCCTGGGCCCCGGGCCCCGAGGAAGGGAGGTGAGGCTGGGGAAGTGACCGCTGAGCCCTTGGCCTTGCTCCCGCTAGGACTCCGAGGGGCTGGGAGGAACCTGGGGACGGGTCCGAACAGGGCCACTGTTCTGACTGCTGTCCCCTGCTTCTGGGTGTCCGAAAGGCTGTAGGGATAAGAGCTGTGCCCGGGTGCAGAGCTGCTGGGCTGCGTCTGGCTTTGCCCCTCCCACCCCCTCATCATTGATGGGCCAGAACCATGGGAGCAGCGGAGTGTGGGCTCTGGTTGAGAACACTAGGCCGAGTCTGCCACTTCGGAGCTGTGCCTCCTCAGGCAGGTTCCTGTTGGCCAAGGCCGCAGTTGGCCATCTGTTGAGTGCGGTAACGAGCATCTGTTTCATTAGGAGGGTGAGGTTCAAGTGCACGAACCCACAGGAAGCCTTCCATAGAGCAGACATGTTACACAAGTCAACACTGGCACAAAGGTCACGGCCGGCCCGTCTGCCCTCGCACATCTGGGCACCTGCAGAGGCTCGCTGGGCTCCAAGGGGCAGAGAGCTCCTTGCGGGCACCTCAGCCGATGGTGAGCAGAGAGCAGAGAGCAGAGCGTCACGCTGGGAAGCAGGGGAAACGTCGTTTTTAGGAAACAGTGGAATCTCCGCTGACTCACTACCCCTGGCTTCACGGATCGCCCGCCGCAGTGAGTGCAGAATGTGTGAGTAAAGTGCAGGGCGTGTTGTGCTGACAAGTGGCAGCGCCCAGCTGGGTTGGCTCAGAGGGTGAAGCGTTGGCCCGTGGACTGAAGGGTCTCTGTTTGGATTCCCGGTAAAGGGCACGTACCTCGGTTACAGGCTTGATCCCCGGCCCCTGTTGGAGTGCCGGTGGGAGGCAATCATCTATGTGTCTCTCACATGAATGTTTCTCTTCCCACCTTCCTTCCACTCTCTCTAAAAATCAATGGGACAATATCCTCAGGTGAGGGGAAGGAAGGGAGGGAGGGAGGAAGGAAGATGGCAGCTTACTTTAACCCCGGGACTGAGTCAGGTGCACCAGCCTCTGAAGAGCTCCACCTGGGGGCAGGGGCGGGGACCACACCCCGGCTTCTGCGGCCTCGCTCAGTCCCCAGGGCCCTCACAGAGGAAAACCCCATGCCATGCTTGTTCTGTTTGAGGGCCACTTGAGCGCTTCCTGTGTGCCCAGCGCTCTGCCAAGTGCTGTACAAATATTGGCGCACCTGGTGCTCAGAGGCCTGGCGACCTCGGGGATGGCCCTCCAGCGACAAGCAAGGTGGGCTGCACGGGCTCGGTGTCATGATAAAGTCAACTGCTTTCTGTTTTCATTTCACAAATGCTTTTTGTGAAAGAATCGTAGGCTAACAAGACTATAAAGTCCAATTTTTTTTTTTTTAATTTCACAGAGGGAGAGACAGAAACATCGATGAGAGAATCATTGACTGCCTGCCTCCTGCACACCCCCTACTGGGGATCGAGCCCACAACCCAGGCATATGCCCCTGAACCTGGGACCCTTCAGTCTGCAGTCTGACGCTGTATCCACGGAGCCAAACTGGCCAGGGCCAATTTTTATTTCCTTAAAAAAAAAATCTCCCGCAGTTCAGTAGATTGAGCGTAGTCCTATGCACCAAGAGGTCCCAGTCAGGGCGGGCTTGATCCTCTCTCATCAATGTTTCTATCTCTCCCTCTCCCTTCCTCTCTCTGAAATCAATAAACCATATTTTAAAAATGTTTTTTAATAATTTAAGCAATAAAAAAATATAAAAAAAATGTTTTTTAAAACTCTATTTCAATAACAAGAACATAAATCGTGATGAAAGAAGAGACGTAGCAGAACATGGGAATACCAACCAGTTTTATCCAGTGTAAGAAAAACTGTCAGCTTTATTTTGATAAACATTTCAGACTTCCTCATCACAGCATACCAATAGGCAAAATGTACATGGGCGACTTCATACTGCATGTCAAGTCCCAACTCCCACTCCCAGGTAAGCAAGTTGCAAAATACAAATGCGGATCATGTAACTCTAGGTAGTATTTTAAACAAAAATAAGCAAGTTTTCAGCACTTAACGTGACATGAGGCTTTAATAAAAAACAGAGACTTAATTCCACAGGGTGTCTTTTTTCAACAGGAATGAGGTCAATCAAGCCTGTGATTCCAAGCACAAGTGACAGTATTACCTGTGAGGCCAGCAAAGGAGGCCATCAACCCGTCAGTGGTATATTGCAGCATGTGCTACATTCTGGACACTCTAAGTGCGTTCAAGTTTTAGAACTCGGAGTCCAATGAGACAAGAATTGGAGAGAAGAGCTTGCCCCCCTTTGAAGAGCGGCCATGTAATGGCTCTCCCGGCACAACCCCCCACGAACTGACGGCCAGGAGCACACACCCTTCAGCTACAGCTTTGATGAAGGAGCACATTCATTTCAACAGAAGAAAATTCTGACTCCCAGCTCTAAAGAGCAGACCGTTCCATAAAGAAGCGGCCATCTAAATATCGGAGCACACACATTTCAGTTTTGACAGCGTCATGCCTGAAAAGAAGTTTTGGCTTCAGGAGGGTCATTTTATGTACCCAGCATCAAATAGCCACACAGGATGTGTCGCAGACAATATCGTTTTAGAAACTGTAAGTGGCACAGAATGATTACAAAATTTTTTTTTTAAATCAAATTCAAGTTTCCAGTGATCTTAAAAGACAAATTATAACTCTTTGTGTTCAGCTGAAATATCCAGTGTGGTTATTACCTAGGAAATCCTAGTTATGTAAAAAAAGAATTACAAAGTCAAAGAAAATCTGTAACTTTGATTACTTGCAACCTTTTCTGTAGGCCTCGCTAGAAATAAAAGGGTCCTCTGGCATGAGTCAAATTAACTCAAGAAACTTTACAGCTCTAAGCCAGTGTTCTGGGACCTATTTGTGGTTTTACATAATTTCCACAGTCTTCATACCACTATTTTTATTTAGATAAGAGAAATGACCTTTTGAAGTAATTGGCATTAGAAATGGTACCTATGGGGCAAGAATCACAACTACAAACTAGGGAAAATGGGTCTTAGCTGGCACAATTTCTCTCAAAGTCTGAGGCGTTTTATACAATCAACATTCAGCAGAAGCGACAGATTAGAAACCTGGGGAAATTCAAATTTCTTCAGTTATTTTTGTTTTAGGAAAGAACCTGAAGTAAGCATTCTGTTCACTTTAAAAAACAAAGCAAGTAAAACAAAAGATAAAACTCCAACAAAAAAAATGCAGCATTTTAGGAGTCACCAAACGTTTCTTTTCCTTTCTTCCTTTTGGGTACATTTCGTCTCATCTTTCTATTCTCCACTTTGTTACAAAAAAAAAGCAAAACCAATTCTCTACCCAAAGCAGTTATACTGGAGCCTACCTGGTGTGGTCAGTGGTTGAATGTTGACTCATGGACCAAGAGGTCACGGTTAGATTCCCCGTCAGGGCACATGCCCAGGTTGCAGGCTCGATCCCTAGTAGGGGGTATGCAGGAGGCAGCTGATCGGTATCTCTCTCTCATGATGTTTTTTTCTATCCCTCTCCCTTCCTTTCTCTCTAAAATCAATAAAAACATGTTTTTTTAAAAAGCAGTTATCAATCGGGGAAAAAGGAGACATATATAATACTTTAAACAATAAAAAAGCAGTTATACTTGAGAACACTATGGGGTTTGCATATGATTTTTTTCTAATTTCCCATCCACCAGACCCTGAAATCTGAACAAGTATTTCAATGAAAACTTTTCTCCCATTTGCATGAAGTCTGAGCCACTCTAGGAGGGGGGTGGGGCAGCTAAAACTCACTGGTACTGCCAGTTCCTCAATGTGTCCCGATTCTTGTTATTTTTTTGAATGATAAAGACAAACGCTCCAGCTGGGCATTCACACCGTTCAGGAATATGTTGAAAAAATAATTTATCATAGCCCTTGAGATTTTCAAGTAAATGCTCCCAAACCAATTATAAAGCTACTAATTAGCAGCTGAAAATAATTAGCCATTTGAATCACATTGGAAATGTCTGCTGAACTGGTTTATGAAAGCTTCCTCTTGTGTAAGGATCAGAATATTTGCACAAACTAGCTATTTTCACGGAAGAATTCTTTAGAACAAAATTTACCCTAAAACCAATTTTCTCAACTCCTTTCTTTCCCCCAAATTGTTCAATCACATTTTTATGTGTGGAAGTATACGAAGCAGGGTGTTTATGTGGCACTGTACCCTTTTAGAAACCTAACATTTTGGTGAACTGGAAAACTTCCATAAAATACTTCTAGATATTACTTCCCTGTTGCTGCATAATATATACTATGAGAAGGTATGTTTTGACTCAAAGGATGAACTGAAATGATAACAGTGTGACAATATATTCATTAGAGAGTTAGCATAATTTAAAAGGAAAAGCATACTATATATTTTATTAATTGCAATGTTTTTGTTATGTGGGCTTAATTGGACATTTTTCTCTTTCTCCTTTTGGGTTTCTATCTGAGAGGGCGTCTTTTATGGTTCAGCTGTGTTTGAGACTACAGGGAAAATGCTAATGCCGATTAACATAAATATAAATAATATAGAAGCAATATATACGTATACACAGAAACAGATCCCAGCATCAGACCACGGAGGTTGTGCTCTCGGGGTTCACGCGGATCAGTCTAGACGCGTTCCTCAGGTCCTGGAGCTGTCTGGCGGGCTTCCCCACACCCTCCTCGAACCTTTTCTCCACCACAGGGAGGACGGTTTCGTAGAGGAAGGACGCATTCTGCCGGATAAAGGCCTTCTTCTCCGGGTCCTGCTCACAGCGAAGACTGTAGTCCACGTGCTGGACAGCCACCAGGATGATTTCCACCAGGCTCTCCAGAAGCACCATGTGCAGCTCCGGGAAATACAGCTTCAGGGCCTCCTCCAGGAAGCCCATGGTCTGCTTGGTGAAGGCGACCACCGTGTAGCTCAGGTTCACCCAGCAGTCGTCGCCCGTGTACTGCTCAAAGTCACTCACGCCGCAGCCCTTCATCTCCTCCTTGAGCTTGCCCAGGGCCTCGGGCGTCATCAAGTTCATCCTCCTCCACATCTCCTCCGAGTTGCGGTGCTTGGTGGCCTCGATGATGATGTCCTTGTAGCTGTGCAAGGCGCCCTGGATGTCTTTCACCAGCAGGGCGTGGACCACGAAGGTGAGGTCCAGCCCGATGTCCCCCAGCTGCCGGCAGTGCTCCTTGGCCACCTGCACGCACTCGGCGGCCGTCGACAGGCTCTCCTTGCTGTCGAACACCTGCTTGCTGAAGGCGTCCACGAACATGCCCATGGCCGACCGCGCCCAGACCACGAAGGCCGAGTAGCAGCCGCTGTCCGTGCCGGCGAAGTCCGTCTCGAACTCGCGCGCCGTCTCCAGCAGGCTGGTGAAGAAGACGTGGCACAGCTTGTGGATGTAGAGCAGCGTGGCCCCTTCGATGCGCAGCTGGCGGATGGCCGTGTGCACCGCGGCCGCCCGCT